CCTTAGCACCCAACTGACAGGGTACAATCAGGCGTCCCAGATGGGGACATGCCACAGTGGCTGCTTTGGAGCTGAGGCCCACAGCTCACTCCCCAGCTTGGCCAAACACACGGAGCCCCTGATTTCAGCACAACTGTAGACCTCAGAGGTGAGGCTACCCGGTTTGCTTCTCTTTCTACCTGCTTCCTACCTGCACCCTCTCCCCACCTTATTGTGTGACACTACCACCCCCATTGTTGCCTCATTGAGCTGCCTGTGTGTTCAGGTTCTGAGTGACTGGCACTGACTTGTGCAAAGAGCACCTGGAAGGGGTGACAGGTTCCAAGCTCTAGAGACTCCTAAGCCAGGCTTATTGAGTTGCTGGGGAGCTGAGCAGTGGGCGCCAGAAACTCCAGGCAAAAGCTGCACCTGAGCCAGCTGGGCCAAGAGCCTGGGCGCCTAGTCTTCTGAGGCTCGAGGAGCCAGAGCTGTATCATCACAGACCTCACTGTGAAACCAGGAGCCCTGAGAACAGGTCTCTGTGTGGGAGCACGGTATTTGTAGGTGTGTCTCTGGAGGAAGCCCCTCAGGCCAGGGCAGGTTTTTCCTGGAAGTCTGTCCCCAGAAGCTTCATCTCTGCTCTCTTCCCTAGTGCCCCTCCCCGCCAGCTTCTGATTTCCCAGGCCTGCCTCTTCACCATTCTTCTGTCAACTGAGTGCATGAAAGGATGTTCAGGAAGAGAGACAGCCTGGCTACCTCTTCCCTGCCAGCATCTTTTTCCTCTCCCTGCCCATCTGCTCCCATCCTTCTGTCTGCCTGCTTCTTGGAGCAGTTCCCATGCCATTTGCTTGAGTTGAATCCTAAATGGGATGGGTGGGGTCAGGCTGAGCCCACTCATTGTCTGGGCTGCAGCTGCTCCCTGCAAACTGTCTAGACTGTGCGTAGGCGCATAGGCAGTGTCTACACAGATGTGGCCCACGTTCTTGGTGCTCTCCAGGGAACTAGTAAAGAGAACAGGCTCAGTGTCTCAGGGAAGATAGTGGGACCAGAACATAATGATACAGAGTACTATTGGGCAGGAGGCAGCTCTGGCAGGTGCAGGGCTGCTGACCCTGATGGGAACCATCCCCATCTGAGGGGAAGACATTCATACATTTGTAGAGTATTTGCTGAGCTGGGCACCAAGGTACAATGGGTTTATAAAATAGTTTTGTAAGCTGGGCATGGTGGTGCATGCCTATAATCCCAGCACTCAGGAGGCTGAGGCAGGAGGATTGTTGTGAGTTCTAGACCAGCCTGGGCTACAAAGTGAGGTAAGGTCTGAACTGTATAGCAAGACCCTGTCTCAAAAAAGACAAAATAAAATACGGTTGTTTTCTTGATGGATTTTTTTTTTTTTTTTTTTTTTTTTTTTTTTTGGTCTCTTCTCCCGGTACCAGGAATGGAACTCACGACCTTGCACTTGCCAGGCAGGCGCTTTGCCACTGAGCTAAATCCCCAGCCCCAACTGCTAAATCCCCAGCCCCCTGAGCTCACTTTGTAGCTCAGGATGGTTTTGAACTTGCAGTGATCTTCCTGCCTCAGCCTCCCAAGTGCTGGGATTACAGGTATGTGCCACCATGCCCAGCTTGATGGATTTTTTTAGAGGGAAGTTTTTCTAGTGGTGGGGATAGACATTGAGCATTCACACCCTCAAACACATCATTACAGGCTATGGGAGGCCCTGTGAAGAAAATGACAGCACTGTGAGACTGAGGCCCACTGGTTCTGAGGCTGTCAAAGAAGGGTTCTCTGAAGAAGTGATACTTAAACTGACAAGACTACATGGGTCAGCTGGGCAGAGAACAGGAACACCATGCCTGACTCATTCTGCAGGCTTATTACAGTGTTTCTAGAAGCACTTTGGTTCTCCCCTGCTTTTGTGTGCATCTGCTTCCCGTGTGACCCCTTGGCAGAAAGCAGAGCCGAGCCCAGCTGTGGTTTCTGACTTACCTGCAGCCTGTTGGGCCACTGAGTGGTGTGGTCCTCATTGCTCTCAGTGTGAAGTCATTTTTGTTTTCTTTTTGGTGTGTCGGGTCATCTCTTCTGCTCTCAGCTCACTACAGCTAGTCTTCTAGGGTTTGGAATAAAGACTGCAGCAAGAGCGCATGAGGAGTTAAACCCCCTGGTGAATACTGCCCTGTTCTGAGGCCTTCCGGGAATATCAGCAAAAACGAACGAAAGGAAAAGGTGGACATATTTAACTACATAAACATGTGACCATTTTTTTTGCATTTAGAATAAATTAAAAGATGAAGGAAAAAACTTTCTGTGTCAGTTAAAACCTTAAAATATGAAGAGCTCCTAAAAACAATACTACCTGGGCGTGGTGTCACACACACCTGTAATCCCAGCACTTGGGAGGGTGAGGCAGGAGGATCACCATGAAGTTGAGGCCAGCCTAGGCTATGCAGTAAGTTCAAGGCCAGCCTGGATTACCTAGTGAGACTCTGTCTCAAAAAAGAAAAAAATATATAACAAAAATGGAGATAGAATGTAGTTTCATGAAAGAAATAATACAACCAGTAAGCATATGAAATGAGTTCAATCCCAGAAATAATTAGGAATTTTTAAAAATAATACCCTTTTCATTATCCATCAAAGTAGCCATTTACAAACAAAACAAAAACCAAAGTGGTTGTTCATTTATTTATTTATTTGGAGACAGAATCTCACTTTAGTTCATGCTGGCTTGAACTCACTGTGTAGCCCGGGCTAGCCTCAAACTTGGAGAAATCCTGCCTCAGCCTCCAAAGTGCAGGTATGTGCTGCCATGCCCAGCGCAAAATGGCAATTTCTAAGAGTAAGGAAAAAATCCTGGTGCAGCTTCTGGGATACTCCCACGTAGATGACGGGACTTAGTTGGCATAGCCTTCTGGAAAACAGCCTGGTGATATGTGCTAAACTCCGCTAAAAAGGTGCACCCCATTTGACCCTACAGTTCCATTTCTTATAATTTATTCTGATGGGAGAGAGAGGAATGCCAAGGTACACATGCATGACTATTAATAAAAAGGAAGCAAAGGAGAAAAGCCAGATAAATAACAGTGTCTTTATGTTGCAGAGACTGCAGCTATCTCAAATGATGCCACAGAAGAATATTGCCAGGAGTGTTAAGAATAGTTCTTTGTGGTTTTTTTTGACAGTTTTATTAGGATATATTTTAAATATTATAAATATCAGCCTAATAATAGTGGCAAAAAAAGAAGCTCATGCAATGGCATCACAGTGTGATCCACATTTTTGTAATAATGAAAGCTGTGTTAGCATATACAAAGGAAAAGTCTACCTAAATACAGTTTTTTTTCCTTCCTTTTTTTCTTTTCTGTGCAGAGCTGGGGAGTGAATCCAGGGCCTCATGCATGGTAGGCAGGCGCTCTGCCACTGGGCTGCAGCCCCATCCCTGTTTTCTAATGTCTCTAGTTAGTTTTGTAGGAAGGAAGAAATTACAGGAGGAGTTTGTGTTTCTGGGGCCCTTTGGGGAAGCTTGAAGGCCATACCCCTAATGTGGTTATTGTGCATCTCTCTGAGTTCCCTGTCACCACTCCCTGTGTCACTTTGAACACTCCAGCAACACAAACTACGTGCACCCTGATTGAATCCAGGGCCTTTGCACTGACCTCCATCTCCAGCCATTTTTAATTTTTTTATCTTGATGTAGGGTCTTGCTCAGTTGCCTGGGCTAGGCTCAAAATTGCAGTCCTGATGCCTCAGCCTCCCAGACTGCTGGGATTAAAGGCATACACCACCATACCTAATGTTTACTTCTGTACATCTGCCAGCTCTCTGGAGTGTCCTTGGCTTCTTGCCCAGCTCATCCTGCTGTCACCTGCTCAGGGAACTTTCCCCGGAGCCCTCAGTCCACAATGGGCATGTCTTGGAGACTTCTGCCCTCACCCTGATTCAGCTTTTGCAGAGTGTTTGCCTTTGGAGAACTGGATGGAGGGACTACTTTTTTTTTTTTTTTTTTTTTTTAAATCTGTATCAAGATGTTAACATCTTCTAGAATGTGGCTCCTTTGTCCACCTTTCATTGGAACCCTGGAGGAGACAGGGATTAGCAGACAAACCAAAGGGCTCAGCAGTCTCCTGTGATGGCCTTTATCCAACTCGTATACGTACAATGTACTGTATTTTTTTTTCTTAAAAATAATTCAAGATAATTTGAGAATAAGAGAGAGGAAAGAGAAAGTCAACCTTCCTGTTAGCAAATGTAGGGTGTTCTTTCATCTGAGAAGACCTATGGGCCAAGGAATTTAGGAGGGGGAATTTTTAGGGCAGTAGTCCTCAAACTTCATGGGCATTGGATGCACCTCATGTGTAACATGCATTTCCGGGGGTCTGTGCCGCACCCCACTCTAGCAGTGGCTCAGGAGTGAGCCTATTTGGCTGTGGTTATTTTGAGGGGAGGATTTGCTTTGGGAACATGTTTCAGGGCTGGGGCTCAGTTTAGTGAAGCTGGCTCACCTCCTGTCTCTGACCATTACTTGTTTGGCTTTAGCATCTACCTCAAAGCTCAGTTTTCTCCTCTGTGCATTTCACCAGCCCTTTTGTAGTGGGGTGGCTTCCCAGTTCTATGGCCTGTATCTGCTGTTTAAAGCACCTAACTAATCCCAAGTAAAGGAGCTACGGTTCTTGTCACTGGAAACCTCAGATGCTCCTCTGGGTGCTGAGGAGGTGGCAACAGCAGGAGCAGCAACTGCTGCTATGTGATGCATCCTGAAGACAGACTCACAGGGAGGGTTAGTGTTTTTTTTAAAAAAAAAAAAAAGCCAGGTGTGGTGGTGCATGCCTGTAATCTCAGCACTCTGGGAGGCCAAGGCAGGAGGATTGCTGCGAGTTCAAGGCCAGCCTGGGCTACAAAGTGAGTTGAAGGCCGGCCTGAACCGTGAGACCTTTCCTCAAAAAGACATACAACAACAGCAACAAAAAAAACAGTCACTGACTTACTCAGTGAGAAGGGATCTCTTCTGTTTTGTCTAGAGCTGAGAATGAAGCGGAGAGCATCAGACAGAGGAGCTGGGGAAACATCGGCCAGGGTAAAGGCTCTAGGGAGTAGTATTTCCGGAAATAATGCAAAGCGAGCTGGACCATTCATTCTCGGTAAGTCTCAGACCACCAGGGGATGGGTGTGCTGGGCCAGGGCAGGGCACATGGGCTCACACAGTCTGACCTGCAGACAGCAGAATGAGGTGTCACATAGCCACATGAGATCTTCACCAGGTCTCTGCCTGGACCCACACTTGACCACATCATTTTCTTTCTTTATTACTTTTGCAGTGCTTGGGGGTCAAACTCAGGGCCTCATGCATGCTAGCAGGGACTGTACCACTGAGCTACATCCCCAGCACTCACTTCACACTTTTTTTTTTTTGGTACCAGGAATCGAACTCAGGACCTTATGCTTGCTAGGCAGGTGCTTGTGCCGCTGAACTATATTCCCAGTCCAGTACACTTCACCACTTTAAATGGAGTATGTACACATCAGTGGAAGATGCAGGCTTTAATTTATTCTGCAACAATGGTTACCAGTTTTGTTACAGCCATACCAGCCTTAGATCAGTCTCACCAGAGAGCTGGACTCTATTTCTTACACGCACAATGCTGTGTGTGCCCTGAGAATTCTGTGTGCCTGCAAGAAGCACATAGCTGCATTAGAACCCAAGATCTGGGCTGAGAATGTAATTCAGTGGTAGAGCACTTGTCTAGCATGTCCAAAGCCCCAGGTTCTATCCCCAGTGCTATAAAAAGGAACAAAAATCTATACCAAAAGCAATCTTCTAAGGTACTCCCTTAACTATTTTTTTAACTTTTTTTTTTTTTTTTTTTTAACTTTTTTTGGTACCGGGAATCGAACTCAGGACTTTGCACTTGCCAGGCAGGCGCTTGTGCCACTGAGCTATATCGCCAGCCCTTGCCTTAACTATTTTTGAATGGCACGTTTAGTTCACAGAGTGTCTTATGTTATACCCCTGACCCCAGCTTCTTACAAAATAGATGCAGAAATCCTGTAGAATTGGGTGTTTCCAGGAGGCCGGAGGAAGAACAGGGCTTCCTGCATGATGCCTGAGGCCCAGCAAGCCCAGATAGCATATGGTCAGGCTTGTGGGTAAGGTGGTGCCAGAGACCGTGATTCTCCTGTGTGAGAGGCTGGGTGTGACTTCTGCTTACAGGCCCAGGGTAGTTGTAGCTCAGCAATGGTGCCTACTGTGCACCAGCCCTGGGCTGTTTGTTTGGGATGCAGCAGTGATAAAGACAGATAAGCTCCTACCCTCATGGAATTTAACATTCTGGTTGGAGAAACAGTAAATAGGAAACAAGATCATCGTCACCATGTTACTAAGTGCATTGAAAGAAGTACACAAGGTGACGTGAGAGTGAAAAGGGCCAGGCCAGGCATTTTGGCCAGCACTCAGGAGGCAGCACTCGGGAGGCAGAAGGAGGAGGATCACTGTGAGCTCACACAGTGAGACCCTGTCTCAAAAAAAAAAAAAAAAGAAAGAAAGTCACCATGGGAGCCCGTTGCAGTTGTAATGACCTGGATTCTCTCGATGGAGTGGCTGAGTCAGAGCTCATGTGACAGCCATTTTCACAGATGCTTCCCAGAATTTCCAGCATATACCCAGTTAAGCTGCCTTTGCTCTTCTTTTCTGTTTCCTTTCCTTCCTTTTTTCCCTTCCTTCTTTCCTTTTTTTTCCAGACAAGGCCTCATTTGCTAGCCCAGATGGACTTTAGCCCTTCCTGCTGAGTTCTGCCCAGCCTGAAAACCCCTCTTTTTAAGGAGGGTACAAAAGCCGGGTACAGCTCAGGTAGATGCCTATATATTCCTCTCCAGTTTTGGAGGAAAAACCATGAGAATTCTCTACAGGAGACTTTGGGGTGGTCAGTTCAGTGGGTGTGAACTGTGGTACCTACCTGAAGAGAAGATCTGGTCAGATAGACAGCAATGTGGTGATGTGGAACAGTGATAGACAGGGCTTCTAAAAGGTAAGCAAGTGGCCCTCTATGCCGTAGGTCCCCGTCTGGGCAACTCACCAGTGCCCAGCATTGTGCAGTGTTTGGCAAGGAAAGATGGCACAGATGACTTCTATCAGCTGAAGGTAAGCAAGGCGTGGGGCGGGGGACCTTGGGCCCCAGGGTCTATCTTGGTGGTTCCCTCCTCTCCATCTTTGCATCTGCATCACTTGTGAGCAAGAGTAGCCCCATTCTTTCCGCAAAGCCATCAGATTTCACAGTCTTGCTCAGAACGTCTCTTGATTTAAAGAGCTTTATCTGTAGATAAGTTGCAGGCCTTTTGCGTTTAAAAAATGGCCATCTAACATGTTTATATGTGAGCCGTGCACAAGTGTCGCGTGGTAGGAAGCAACCCCACTTCCCATGCGAGTCATTTTGCTACGTAAAGGAAAGTGTTTGGTCTCTCAGTTTTCTTTTTGTGCTTCCCTAAAGATCCTTACTCTTGAGGAGAGGGGTGACCAAGGCATAGAGAGCCAGGAGGAGAGACAGGGCAAGATGCTGCTGCACACCGAGTACTCTCTGCTCTCTCTCCTGCACACCCAGGACGGTGTGGTCCACCACCATGGGCTCTTCCAGGTGAGTGTCCTTGCCCTCCACCCCTTGGTTGGCTTCAGAGGCCGGCACTAGCTGAGGTTATGTTCACTCTGTGAGCAGCTCCCAGCATGTGACCCCCTAGTGTCCCCATCCTGCTAAATGCATTGGGACTTCCTGGGCAGGGTGGACTGGAGGTCAGGCTGGGGCTGCGCTGGCCACTGCAGTGCTCCTGTGGCCATACTCTCAGCCTAGCAGGAATATACGCAGTTGGCGTCTTAAAGTGGCCGGGCTTTCCTTGAAGGACTGCTTTTCTGAGAAAAAAGAAAAACAGGAAGTTATTTAAAGGCACCCAGGGTTCTTTCCAGCTGTGTTGTCAGCTATTGGCCAGGCTGGAGGGAAAGGGAGGACAATGAGGGGAATTGATGTTTGGGGCCACCTCTAGATCTCCACAGTTCTTTTTGGGACCAGCAGTCCTTTTGCCTGTCGAGGCATTTCAGTTTGTCCAGCACATGTCCTTGAGCTCCTGTGTCACATGTTCCAGGTCTCTTAAGAAAGGTGCTATTCAGCAGTTTGTATCCTGAAAAGCATCATCTGGGACGGAACTGAAATTGTGTCTGGAGCATGGAGAGTTGGGTTCAGAAGGACTGGGAACAGCCCCTCCTTGGCAGACCCTTAGCAGCCAAATGCCAGCCAGAACTGGCCTCTGCTATGGTGGACCTGATATTTGAGAGGGTGCACCATGCCAGGGGGACATACAGGTTTGGAAGCTGACAGTCCTAGATTCAGGTTTTGTGACCCCAGGCGAGTCATTTCAGGTCTCAGCTTCAGCTTCTTCATCTGTAGAAAGTGGTGGATGATAAAAGCCTCTCCCTGCTAAGGGTCAGGAAGATGAGTGAGACCAAGTGGCTGCGGTGCACTCTCATCATCATTGCTGTCTCAGGCAATAAAAACTCCTTGTCAGCTCCATTTCCTGCTATGAAACGAATGGGGAGTGCATCCCTCTCCCATGTGCACACCCTTTGAAGCTCTTATTTTTAGATTTACAACTGCAGTTACCTCAGTTGTTGAATAGCTCTAAACTCGAACTTTGCATTACTCAAGCTGAAAAAGTAAAAAAAATCTGATCAGTGTTGGTAATGTTGCTCAATAGTCAACTAAAAGTCTGACTTGAAAAACCCTGTATGGTCACATCTCGCTGTGGACACAAATGATGCTTCAGTTTAAGTACCGCTGTTACCCAGACAACATACGGTGCTTGTGTCTGTGCTTTCAGACATTCACCATGTGCTTTTCTTTTTCTTCTTTTTTTTTTTTTTTTTTTTTTGGTCTTTTTGAGACGACAGGGTCTTGCTATGCCGCTCAGACTGGCCTTGAGCTCACTTTGTAGCCCAGGCTGATCTCGAACTCGCATCGATCCTCCTGCCTCAGCCTCCCGAGTGCTGGGACTACAGGCATGTGCCACCACACCTGGCCTCTCTTTCTCTTTTCTTTGGTTTTTTTTGGGGGGATTTTTTTTGGGTTTTTGTTTTTTTTCTGGTACCAGGAATCAAATTCACAACCTCGCACTTGCCAGGCAGGCGCTGTGCCGCTGAGCTAAATCCCCAACCCCTCTTTTTCTTCATTTGTGTAAAATAGTGTAACCACGGCTCTGAAGAAAGGCTCAGCAGTAAAGCTAAGAGAAAGACTGAGAACCACAATAGAGTTAAAGAAATCACTGCAAAATTTATTAAAGTCCCAGAAAAATGATTTTATAAGTGTAATTTTTGGGTCTCAACCAGTTATTTGGTTTTTCTTTATTTGCTGTATTCAGTTCTCAAATTTTTCAGTGTTCAAACACAAATTTGGGATGAATTGAGTTCAACAACCAAGGTATTACTATAAAGACAAATTAGTGTATCATTAGTAAATTCTGAAAATACAGCATTTCCCTTAAACATGAAATCAAATTGAGAGTGATTGTAATTTATGAGTATGTCATCTCTGACATCTTCAAGACCTTGGCTTTTGCCAGGTGTGGTGACACACCCCTGTATTCCCAGTGTTCAGGAGGTAAAGCAGGAGGATCACCACCAGTTTAGGGCCAACCTGAAGGAGATAATATAACAAAACAAAACAGAACAGCAACAGAATAAAAAGCTTGACTGGGTGTGGTGGGCTGTAATCCCAGCATTCAAGAGGCTGAGGCAGGTGGATCTTTGTGATTTCAAGACTAGCCTGGGCTGCAAAGTGAGCTCAAGGCCAGCCTGAACTGCATAGCATAGCAAGACCCTGTCTCAAATGAATGAATGAATGGCTTTTGTTTATGTCCTTTTGGATAAGAGGACCTAGATGATCAAAAGTATTACTTCTAGCCGGACATGGTGGCACATGTCTGTAATCCCAGCACTTTGGAGGCTGAGGCAGGAGGATCGTTGAGAGTTTGAGACCAGCCTGGGCTACAAAGTGAGTCTCAAAAGGACCAAAAAAAGAAAAAGAAAACGTATCCTTAAGACCAAAAAAAAAAAAAATTACTTCTAGCATGATATTCTAGCCCAGACGCTAGGCTGGAGCTTTGGGGAATGTGAAGATTTGGTCTTTCTGGAGTTCCCCCAGAGGGCACGGTCAGTCTGCTGGGGATGACACCAAGGGCCTCCTCAGACTGGTAGGACAGAAGTTTCCAGATTGTACTGTTTTTGTCCCACTTGAATACCTTACAACAAAGACAGTGGATCTGGGCCTTGTACCACGGTGTGTGTAGCAGTACCCATGTGCAGACCCTGACTGCAGCAGGCCCTAAGTACTGGGTGGTCCCATTTAATTCTTCACAGCCAGGGAAGGACAGATCACTACCTCCCTTTTCGAGGTGAGAGCTAGAGACAGGGTCTTCACCAAACTGCCCAGGTTTCACAACTAAGAGGTAGAGGTGGGGCCAAACCCAGCTGTCTGAGGCCAGAGCCATACTCTTAGCCATAGTTATGTGACTGCCCAAAAGTACTGTGGCTGGAGGAAGAGTATTGTCTTGGACGCATAGATCACTGTTTGAACCTTAGCACCTTCCAGGATTGACCTAACTCCCACTATCTTGTGAGGTAATTAATAGAATCTGGGAATGCTGTGGAAGGAGGATGCCCACACCCGTTTCATGGCCTCTGCACTTGGCTTTAAATGTCCAGCCCTGATCCGAGTCCTCTGCATTATGATCAAAGCCTGAAGCTTTGAGATGTCTTCACCTCAGTCCCTTGGGCCTGGTGCTTGGCAGGTGGGAAGCTGAGTGGTGCTGAGGACCCTGTTTTAGGTTCCCCAGCCACACCCGCAGCCTTGCTCAGGCTCATCATTGGTGATGATGAGGAGAGTCCCGAAGCCCTGCCCTTGGTCTTCTGACCCATAGCCAAGGCCTGGTCTGCCTGCTTGCCTCATAGGACCGCACCTGTGAAGTCATTGAGGACACAGAATCCAGCCGCATGGTTAAGAAGATGAAGAAGCGCATCTGCCTGGTCCTGGACTGCCTGTGTGCGCACGACTTCAGCGACAAGACTGCCGACCTGATCAACCTGCAGCACTACGTCATCAAGGAGAAGAGGCTCAGCGAGCGGGAGACCGTGGTCATCTTCTACGACGTGGTGCGTGTGGTGGAGGCCCTGCACCAGGTGAGCCCCCCACATCACTGCTCCCTTGTACTCTGCCCCAGAAAGCCCCACTTCTGGCTGCTGCTCAGTAGAAAGCAGCTCTGCCCCGCCCTCACCCAGGTGTGCTCTGCAGCGGGGCATGTCCAGAGGAAAGGCTGAATGACATGGGCCCCAGTGAGAGGCAGTGCTGCGGGCCACGGCCCATGTTCCTGGTAAGGGCTCACCAGGTAACCCACGGAGCCCCACGCAGTAATTCCCTGTGTTTTGAGAGGCTAAACTGTAGTGTCCCAACTTGGGGACAAATGTGAGATACCCGCCTGGCACCACGGCCCATCGAGCTTCTTGTAGGATTAGGGTTCCAGTACCCTGAGGTAGAAAGCAGCAGAGCCAGAGCCTCTTCTGGGCACATAGCTTCATGGGCAGAGCCTGCAGTGCTTAGTTGGAGTTAAGGCTGCTCATCTCTGACCCTGTCCCAGGTCAAAGCCTGGTTTTTCCCCCTGGGATGTTTGCTGGGGCAGAAGAGAAGTGTCTTCCCCACTGGCTGCCCTGAGGGGAGAAAGAGTGGAGGAGGCCACCTGATGGGCCCTGACTGGGACACAGCACTCGTTCAGACAGCGTCAGTGAGGCCTGAAAGAGCCTCCTGGAGTCTAGCCTGCTTTCCCACGTACCTGGAGAGCTCACATGTTACAGGTTGGGCCCCAGTGCACCTTTCCCTTTCCCAGTGCACACAATATGCCTGTTGGTTTTCAGAAAAACATTGTGCACAGAGACCTGAAGCTCGGGAACATGGTGCTCAACAAAAGGTAAGGTTCCGTTTCTCCTTCTGTGCTGTTACCTTGCACTTGGGACAGGCGACTTGCTACAAGTACCCAGTGCCCTGCAGTCCCCATGGGGATGCTGACTCAAAACAGCTCCGGCTCCCCAAATCCCAGGGTGTGCGTGGGTTGCCTGCTTTTGTCCTTGCCATGTGGAAGATGGTGCTTGTTGATACTGGGAGTTTAGAGCCGCTGAAAGGGAGCTCTGGAAAGGACTTTGGATACCTTCCCTGGCCCATTCCCTTATCGTGCCTGGCTCCTGGAGAGTGCTCAGTAAAAGACTATACAAAGGGAAGTTTTTTGGGTTTGGGGGGGGTTTTTTGTTTTTTTGAGACAGTCTTGGTTTGTAATTCAGGCTGGGTTTGAACTCATAGTGCTCCTCCTGCCTCTGCCTCCCAAGTGCTGGGATTACAGGTGTGCACCACTGTGCCTGAGTTCAATTTCCAGTACCAAAAAAAACAAACAAAAACAAACACACACACACAAAAAAAAAAAAAAAAACAACAAAGAGAAGAGTAGGGGAAGGAGTGAGCAGAGTGAGGCCTTGCATGGGCTGAGTCCCTTAGGAAACAGACTGAGAGGAGTGTGCAGGGAGTGTGCAGGGAAACAGACTGAGAGGAGTGTGCAGACTGAGAGGAGTGTGCAGGGAGCTTACCAGGCAGCGTCAGGGAGCAGGAGCAGAGTTGGGTCAGAGGGGAAACTGCAGTGCAGTAAGGCTGCAGCCTGAAGAGCACTGGGATTGGATGGCCATTCAGGTGTCCCAGATCAAGGCACAGACCTATGGATGTCCCTGGATGTGACTGTCCCTAGGGAGGGGACTTCCTGAAGAGGGAGACAGCTATGAGTGGTCAGAAGCCAGCAGCAGGCAGTGCCTGGATCTTGGAAGGGATTGGGACAGCATACTATACCAGCCTTGGGAAAACAGTGGCAGAGGCCTCAGAACGCTTGAGCCCCATTTCAGGCCATCACCCCACCCAAGAGAGGGCCTGGCTCCTTCAGAGTGCTGTAGAGGGGCACCAACTATGCAAGGGCCCAGGACAGGCAGGTGGAGGGGACCTCTCTGGACCACTAGGACCCAAGAAATGCAGGGGAAGGACATATCTCCCCTCACCTGCTTTTTTAAGCTTCCCTCCCTGACTCGGATCACCTCAAGGTGTGTTTGAAGCATTACAGAATGCAGGCAGCATAAATTCTAGGAGAGATGGCATGGGGGGGATTTGTTTCTTGATGTGTTCAGCCCAGGAGGGGACCTGAGCCAGCCTACTATACCAATTAAGTGACCAGAGCCGCAACGGTCAGAGGAAAAGCAGCTCAGGGAGCCGGTCCTCTGGGGAGGAGGGTGAGAGCTCCAGGTCCAGCCAAAGTTGCCTGCACACACCCTCCAGCTGCACCTAGTTACGCGGCTGCAGACAGATCATCTCTGGACTGCAACCCTACCCCTGTGGAGCTCATTGTCTGATGAAGGACTGACCAGAAAGCAGATAACGCGTGGTGGTGGGAGTGGTGGTGGTGATGATAACTGCTGTTGCAGTAGCAGGCATTGAACCCAGGGTCTCTGCACTGAGCTGCATCTCCAACCCTTTTTTAATTTTTTTCTAGTGTTATTTTGAGACAAAGTCTTACTGATTCACTAAGGTGCCCAGGCTGGGCTCAGATTTGTGATCCTCCTGCCCCAGCCTCCCAGATTGCCGGAATTACAGACCGGTACCACCATGCTTCACCAGATGTCGTGTATTGAGGACAGTTGTGCAGAACACTGGAGGCTCACAGAGGGTCAGGGAGTCTGCAGGCTGAGTTAGTTTATGAAGGGTGAGGAGAGATTTGCCCGCCTGAGAAAGTGAAGAGATGAGAACCTGACCCTGTCATGCTCTGCAGGCTGGAAGGAAGGAAACAGGAAATTCCAGGACTGCTTGAGCCAGTTCTGGCTGAGTGAGAAGTTAGGGAAGATGGAGCGGGATGTGGGGGCTCAGACCTGGCTTGCATCCCAGGACTGCCTCTTATCTTGGAGGCTGTGAGAGTTTGTTGGTTTATTTATTTATTTGCTGATTGAATTCATTCATTCTCTGAGCTTCCATTTCCACATGTGTGAAAGTAGAATGTTTCCAGCCTGGAAACATTGATGTGAGATATAAATAAGTGGGTATGCGACTGCCTGGTGGGGTTTGGCCCATCATAATCTAGTGGGCCTTGGGGGCTCCTTTGGCCCGGAGACAGGACAGCAAGCCATATGCTGTCTTCCCTCAGGAGGTGCAGCCTGGTGTATATTGAGTGGAGCCTGGCAAGGGCCATCTGTGCCCCAGCCCCAGCCCAGACTGGGACTCGTATGAGAAGGCCACCCCAGCCCTGGGTTTTGGAGAGCATAGTGTCTCAGAGAAGGCATTTGGATCCTGCCCTGCGCTAGGCCTTTACCGTGGGCCAGGCACCATCCTGCTGTGGACTGCAGGCCACTGTTCATAAAGAGAGGGCAGTTTTTTGAGTCTTGTCTGGCTGCAGAGCCTATCTTCTCTCAGCTGGACTAGAGAGCTCAGGCTTTCCACCCACGCCCGTCACTGGTAGGCTCTGTGTGAGCCTCCCAAGTGTTGTCGTGGGAGCACACAGTGGAGGCTTGCGCCTGCTCCGCACACCAGGACTCTGTGTGGCTGGTGGGTTTGATTCACCGCTCTTCTCTGGTCCCTAGGCTCTGGGCACCTAGTCTGGAGCGTGCCTGCATGACCACAGCAACTCTGCTGTGTGGACACATGGGTTCCACAGGCTGCAGGGCCCCAACGCCTCTCCGACCCTGTCTTGGCCGCACCCGCTTATCTGGTAGTCCTGTTCTGTGTTTGGTTCAAGCGGAGGCTCTGGCCACCTTTCACTTAAGTCCATTCAGGTGCTTTAGAAAGAGGCAGGGGTGGGGAGCAGAGAGCCCCACACCGCTCCCTCGTCATCCTTGTCATACTCGTCCAGTCCGGGCCTCACTTTCACACTTCCTCAGTCAGGGGTTAGCCTGGAAGAGCTCTGACCCCCCTTACCCATTCTGCGAGCCATCCCCCGCCGCCAGGAGGCAGGCAGACAAGCAGAGTGCCCCCAGGAAAGGGAACAGGGAGCTGTGCTTGTGAGGCAGCAGCAGGGACAGGTTCAGGATAAGGAAGGGGCTGGAATCTGAAGTGCTCTCTGGGGGTCATTTGAGGTTGGCTGTGGGTCCCTGCTCTCTTCCTCCTCCCTTTGGGCTGGCAAGTCGCACACCAGTTCCTAGAAAAGGAGCACACTGGCAGCTGGAGGGCCACAGCCGAAGCGTGACTCAGAGCAGACCCTGCTGACGCACATCGCCTGCTCTACCCCTCGTTGCCCTCACCCTTCAGTCAGGGCTAGCTGGGGGGTCTGGGACTCCCAGGGAGCTGAGTGCCATCCGACCAACTTGCGTGGTGGCGGCAGGGAAGGCAGGGAGTGTTGCCAAGCTTCGGGAGGCCTTGGAGCTGACCATGTTCTTCCTGCGGGAGAGGCTCCAGGCGCCTCTGTGGCAGGGCAGTGGAGGCCGCCTGGGCACCCAGTCAGCTGCTCCTCCCTGAGCGCCCCTCCGCTCCACCCTGCCGGCCTCTCTTTCCACCACAGAGGGCCGGAAAGTCCTGCCTGCAGGGTGGAACTGAAGGTTCATCTGTGCGGCCTTTGTCACCCCACTGCCTCATGGTCAGTGTCTTTCCTGGTGTCTCATCGGCAGCCTCTGCCAGACGTGCCGGCCAACACAGGAGAGAATGGCGGCTCTCTGTGCCAGGCACCAGCCTAAGTAGCTGCTGAGGACTGTCTTCTTCTGGTGGATCCCAGCACAGTCCTGAGAGTCAGGCACTCATATATTCCGTTTTACAGATGAGGAAATTGAGGGTTGGCACGAGACTCACACAGCAAGGAAGTGACAAAGCTAGGACTGGGACCCTCTGAATCTGATTCCACCTCCTCTCCCCCGAGCTGTTCTTCCAGTGTCTTGAGCCTCAGACCACAGGATGCATTTGTGGCTGCAGTCACTGGGGGAGAAAATACAGTGTGGCTTTGTGGGAACCTTCCAGACCAGAGGCCTGAGCAGTCATCCCATGTTGGAGCAGTGACATGGGAGGTTCCGAGCAGGGCAGTGGGCCTCTTGCTGTGTGCGTGACGCCTGCTGGGACCCCTAGCCTGGAGCAGGCCTGTGAGAGCTAGAGCTGAGGTTCTGCTGGGAACATAAGGACAGACGCCTTTGTTTTCACCAGGCCCTGTCGGCTAAATTCCCCAAGATAGCTGAAGGGCTCTCGGAGCCTCTTGGACTCAGCTTCTGGGGAAATCCACCCTCAGCCACACACCCTGCACCTCTGACGCAACTCTCCCTTGCCACCAGGAGCCTTTTCTAGGGAGAGGCAGCCCCAGGCCCCTTATGGAGCTTCCCTTGCTCCCGTCCACCCAGCTGCAGGGCCCAGCTGGCTGGCACAGGGGCAGGGCGCTCCAGTAGGAGGCACCCTTTCCTCACTAGTGCTCCCCAAGGGGCATCTTTTTTTCTTAATTTTTTCGGGGGGTGGGCAGGATTTTGCTTAGTTGACCAGGCTGGGTTCAACGTTCAATTCTCCTGCCTTAGCCTAGCAGTCGCTGGGATTACAGCTGTGCGACACCACACCTGGTGCTAAGGGGCCTCTTGCTGGGGGCCAGCCCACTCCTCCCACCTGGGTGTGAGGTAGGGGTGCTCTCAGGGACTCCTTTTGGTCCACTTTGTAGGCTTCCCCGGAAGGATCAGAGGCCAAGGCCGCCTGGCCCATGACTTTTTTTTTTGTTTTTTCTCTGGTACCAGGAACCGAACTCACGACCTTGTGCTTGCCAGGCAGGCGCTTTGCCGCTGAGCTAAATCCCCAGCCCCTGGCCCATGACTCTTAAAGGGGGCATCTGATCAGGGCAGAGTTTGAAATACAAGGCAGGGGCTGGGGATATGGCTCAGCAGCACAAGCACCTGCCTGGCAAGTGCAAGGTCCTGAGTTCGATTTCTGGTACCAAAAAAAAAAAAAGAAAGAAAAGAAATACAAGGCAGGGATGAATCAGCCTTGATGAAACAGAGAAAAAAAATCAGTCAGGCTGGGCACTGCACCTGGGCACCTGTCAGTCCTGACTGCGAGCTCTAGGGTCCGACAGTCCTGGGTTTGGACCCTATTCCAGTGCTCACCAGCTGTCTGGCCTCAAGCCAGTCAGGTCGCTTTGCATCTGTGGACCAGAGTGGCACCATCTGAAGGGGCACAGTGAGAAAGTCTCCCTCATAAGCTGCTGTGAGGCGTGAGGGAAAATAGTCTACTCCCTTACCAAATACCCAGTATTGATGATGGCAGAAGGGGACAGAAGTGCCCCGCAAGGGTTAACTTCAGAGCTCCATCAGCTGAGCTCCCCAGGCCGGTCACTTCCTGCAGAGCAGATTATGCCTTGCACGGCGAAATATGCGGGAGCGCCCCTGCCATGCCACAGTCCTCCTAGGGAGCCCACCCTGGCATGACTGAGTGACCCTTCTGGGCCTGCCTGCTCAGTCATGGGGACTTGGGTCCTGCCCTGGGGCCGGTATTAGTGGCTTCCAGGCCAGGGAAGAACACCAGGAGGTGTCCAGTCAACCTGCAGGGGCCCCAGAATTGCTGAGATACACCAGCTCCTCATCACAATGTCATTCTGAGGACTCTGCCGTGTGCCAGCAGCAGTGCTCCTCAGCATGTCAGACCCCTGCCTCGTCTGCCAAGGAGCACTGCCCCCGGGGGCGGCCTGCGTCCTCCTCAGTGGGCAGGGCCCTGTTCCCTGTAAGTGCTTTCTGCTGAGCTTCCTCAGGGCCCTACTGCGCCCTAGCGCTTTTCTGATGGCAAAAAGTGGGAGAGGGCTGACGGCTCAAAGCTCTGGTAATTCGGCTTTGCCAGAGGACCCCAAGATGGCAGAGTTGCCCCTTGTTCCTCACCAGCCCTCACTGCCATCGCCCCAGGAATGAACTGTCCTCAGTAGACTCCAAGAGGTAGGGAATCTGGGGTGCCTTGGACCAGTAGCTCTGAACCCAGAGAGGACCAGTGAAGACCCAAACCAGCATGATGGCTGTGCTTCACCTGTGGGCTCATTGCCATGCTAAATCTTACAGAGTGTGGACCCCTGCCATAGAGGAAGAAGCCAGGTGTGCTGGTGCTGTTATCTCAACACTGGGAGGCTGAGGCAGGAGGACTACAAGTTTGCTCCTAGCCTGGGCAACTTAATGACTTAGTGAGACCTTATCTCAAAATGAAAAAAGAGCTACAGATGTGGCTCAGTATGAAGGCCTGGTTCAGTCCTCAGTACCTCAGAAAGTTGTGTTTCCTCAGTAGAGGAAGGAGTCTTGTGCCGTGACCTGGTTCCGGTTGCTTCTGGAGGTGAAGGCGGCCTGGAAAGTGCCCAGAAGGGTTCCCAGACCATCCCTGCAGGGCAGGATCTCAGGCGTGCTCTGGCTATAGTGGGGTTTTGGAAATTCAGGGTGACTAAGTCTGGGTGTGTTGTTGCTCTGGGCGGCACTGTGACAACTGTGCTGCCACTTTCCCTTCCTGCCCTGTCAGTCTTTTTTTTTTTTTTTTTTTTTTTTTTTTT